TGCGTTTTCGTTGCACCGCATAAACGCTCTTGCAATTTGTGTCGCAACGCTGTTGCGAGAGAAGTTGCAGAGAAAATTGCTCTGTGGAAAAGAAAATTATTTTGTATGGATATTTTCAAATTAGGGGAATTGTTGTTATCATCATTTCGTACGAATGCCCTCCCCTTCCCCCTCCTAGATCGATCTGCCCCTGAGATATCAGTATTTCTGCAGCTTAKAGCAGAGTATAGATTTGCAGACTAGCAGGCAATGTTGTGTTCTTTTCAGAGGTAAAAAGTTTTATAAAAAAGATATTGTACAATTTGATATTTAATGACGACCGACGTCCAGCTGCAGGTCGCTACTCGTCTGCATGGCTGTAACAGACTAGTGTTTAATAAGATAGTGACCATCAGAATAAATARAAATACGCCAGCCGACGCGCCGCGCATGATCATCAGCCACGACACAATTTGTAAAAGAAAATTTGTAAAAAAATAAACGTTTAGCAATTTTATCGATATGAGCTGTGTTGTGATGAAAAGATTACAATCGAGAATGTACTATATACTATACCTATCTGCAGGCACTTTACTTGTTTCTTATGACTGGAAAACACACGGTACTAAACGGTTTGCCTCTGAACATTGAAATAACATCCCATAATATACTTATAGTTATATTATGAATGCAGGGGCGTAGCCAGGATTTTCCGAAGGCGGTTCCCAAATTTAAAAATCTACCATTTTTGTTTGAGTTCCCGGCGAAASACCAAACCAAAGCCGAAAACAATACTTAAAAAGCCGGCATTACGTTTTATTTTTTACAAAAGAGAAATATAAAAAAATTRATTTAAAATTACCGCATATATTCTAAAAAGCCGCGATTTAGTCGCCACGAGGGAGTGGGGTCGCTGCCTCGGCCCTTCCCCTGCCTATGCCTGGAGTAGGAAACATACGATGCTGACTTACAGCATGCACGGTAAGACATGCCATAACATTGAAATAGCTTCCAATCCTGAGAATGGTTATCGTATATGAGAGGGAAACACACGCGATACTGGATTACAAACTGCACGGTAAGACATGCCATAACATTGAAATGGCTTCCAATCCTGAGAATGGTTATCGTATATGAGAAGGAAACACACGATACTGACTTACAACATGCACGGTAAGACATGCCATAACATCGAAATGGCTTCCAATCCTGAGAGTGGTTATCGTATATGAGCGGGAAACGTACGGTACTGACTTACAGCATGAACACGTTGCGACATACCGTAACACTGTAATGACTTACCGTAAGTAGAATGGTAATCGTATGAGTGGGGAACATACGCACGTACAAGGTATGAAATGGCTTTCCATAAGAATGGTTATCGTATGGTAGGAAGCTTTTTGATTACTTTGGTCGTTCCAAAAAAAATGGATGGATGGATGGATAGATAATAAGACTGATGAATGGAAGGATGGATTGGGTTGATGGAAGAGTGAGCGATTCGATTGTGCCGGGGATCGATTGGAGAGCTGACAATGTCATTTAACTTTAGTTGGGATACCTGTGTATATATCAAAGAGTGGTTATCAAGTCCAGCGTCCGGTCCAGCGTATTCCTATTTACACGTATTTAATTATCTTAAAGAGAGATGATGTATTCAAAACCAATCGAGAATGTACTAGATACTATACCTGTCTTCATTATCAAATTCTCGAAAACGATTCTGTCACGGCAAACCAATGAAAATCGAAAAAAATCCTTCAACGAAACACAATCCAGAACAAACTTGATCTGCCTCACAGCAGGCGAAGGTAATTTTCGTCAATCTCTCAAATATGCAAATTCAACTTTTTTCTAAAAATGTCCCAGTTATCGCTAGATCCTCTAGTCCTTCTTGACATGATACAAAAAGAGCACAAGATTAGACACAAAAACTCTCAACTCTCTTGTCGTCATATCCGAATTTTTTTTTAAAGCGTTAATTGTTGGCTCAGTTCACAAAAAGTAAATAGTCATGTTTATATATAGATTATACAAAAAACAAAAACAAAAAAACCAACTTTTTTTACTACCAAGTAATTCATGCCTCAAATTGTAACTCTTGACTTGATCATGGACACAAAAGTCATATATAAAACAGAACTCGCTTGAAAATCTCGCACCGACAACTTTCATCCTAAATTATGAAATCTGGCAGTGGGAAGCGGGCGGAAAGTAACCTTGATCTTTCTTTTAAGTATTTTAGTTCAAGTTTCGTAACGAAATTGTCAAAGGCGGCGCAGATGACGTGATCTCGATTTCTGTCGATCATGGTTCTAGATACAGTTCTGTATTGCTCCATGCAGAGAATGCTCTTAGCGTGATGTCACAAGTTAGGAAACGCTCGATGAATTTTAGATTTCGACACGGTTTTGACCTCATCATAATGGCGTTTCGATTTCTATATAAGATAATTCAACTTCTTGTATTAAACGCAAAATATCTGGTGTGGAATGTATGGTGTTATAATAGCGGTTTTCAACAGTTTTCTAAAATCATTCCGATCTTCAAGTTTGGATATATTCTTCATAGCAAAAATGTCAAGWACGACCTCGAATTTGACTCAAAACGTTCAGAAATGTTTGACAGAAGAACAGCTAAGTACGAGCTCCAAGGCAAGAAAAATGTTTGTAMAAGAAATACTTGAAGAGTATACCAAAGAAGAACCACTCGTGAAGTCCTGTGCCGAGTCGTACGAAAAGGCGTTTWGCSCCGTCTATCATGGCTCGTCAGCGGCGAGTACTAGCAACAGTCAWGCGTGTTTCAGACATGGTCTCATGGAAACCTTGAGGGCCAAAGAAAAGCTACTGAGAAATCTAGACTTCCAAGAGGCAGGCTTCATGTGGTGAGACAGATTCAAGGTTAGACTGCAGCCAGGAAACCTATTATGGGACTTCCCGCCATTTGGATGGGTGCAAAGACTAGATGGTGATTGCGCATGCGTCTTCAGTGTGACTCAGGCAAAGATTGATTACTCCCTACTACTGGGGAACGCACTTGGGCACCATAATAATCTGATTCAAGGAAATAGGTTGAAATCAAGAATCGTTTCAGCCCAGTTCAATATTCTTGTTAGCATTTTGTCTTTCAAGATGAGTTTTCTTGTCCAATAAAACTGACCACTAAAGGTCGCCTTAAATATAAACATGACTTCTCACTATGGTTATCCGTTGAACAGGCGTCAGGCGATGTCAACAGAAGGGGTTTCATCTGAAGACTACACTTCCACTCTCTATAAGGATGAACAGCCAGAATACAGGCAGGATCAGGAGTTTTAAAGTCATAAAATTAAATATTTCTGTAGTAAAGTTAAAGCTGTCAAGTCACTAGGGTGCATGTAGCGCGCAAGAACAAAGTACGAACATGTATTAGGTGAAAGTTCCTCTCGTGTGAGGTGTTATATTATTTTGTTTTAAATTTTCTTTTACTAACCGACGACCAAGGTCACGGGAAAATATACAAGCAAGCATTCACCCTTGATTGCATTTCGCATGAATAAAGTTGGTTTGACTTTTTGAGCGCGTTAGTAAATAGGGACAAATTGTACGAGAATTTATTAGTCAAATCGGGTGTAAAGACGCCGTTAATTATCATCGTATCGTATCATCGTATCTTCGGCTCATTTTCCTGCTTCATCGATTAGTGTGTGATGATTTTTAGCGCGTCACTATACTTTTTTTTTTTTTTTCTACTGTGAACATAACTTTGTATAATAAATTTTACTTAATCAGTAATTTTTTTTTTGTAATTCATACTCGTGCGCTTCAGAATTAAATATAACCTTACTGTACTTTGCTCACGATATATCAAGATATTAATCGTATATTCAACCTAGACCCCCTAGATGAGCGCTTTCACTCTTGGGGCTAATGCATTTAAAAAACACGATGTTTAAATAAAACACATAAAATGAATAGAAATAAATTGCATATTTTATCTCTTTTTCGTTGAACTTGAATACCATTTGAAGTATTTTTGTATCACGCAAAATGGAATATTAGACAACTAGCGATTTAAGGGGAATAAAAAAGAAAGAAAGGAAGGAAGGAAAGGAAGAAAGAAAGAAAGAAGGAAAGAAGGAAGGAAGGAAGGAAAGNAAGAAAGAAAGAAAGAAAGAAAGAAAGAAAGAAAGAAAGAAAGAAAGAAAGAAAGAAAAGCAAAGACTAAAAAAAATTAAGGAGCCAGAATTCCGCGGCGAAAGGAGCGTTATACAGACGCTTGTATGGGGGCAGTGATGCTTCCTTCCTACGCACAGATTAACTAACCGATAGAACACTTGTAGTATCAGAGTCACGGTACTGAACTGTACGTGAACTACTTGTCAAATATCAAGTAGATTTGTTTTCGTATGAACGCCTAAACAATTAATCTGTGGTAAAACATGCACTAGAAGACAGGCAACCCTTCCCCTTCCCCCTCCCCCAGTAAAATCTCTGATTTTCCGTTCACTTTCTTAACAAAAAAATATATAATTCTCTTGCGCAAATTAATTTAATGGTAAATCAAATTAAATTTGAGCTGCTTGTGATTGCCATTGAGATATGAAGTCACAGAGAAACAAAGTATGATCCCTGAGACAATCACTTAGTGCAAGTTTCCAAGTTCGCAAATACCATCTCTGCATCTACTGGTGTATCTACTGACGAGATGGAATAAGAGGAAAGTAGAGGAAGATCTTCCTGGGCGCGTCAAACATACTCATTCCATCGATAAATTTACATCTTCTCCAAGGAGAGGAAAGTGGATTTCTAACCGCGTTTTGTCTTTCCTATCTAAGATAACAGAAACAAAAGGCCTAGGAGATGTTTGAACTTCCTCAATTTTTGTCATCTCAGCGTGGACTATAAATAAAAACCGTGTTGGTGTTGAGTGAGAAACTAAGATGGAAATTATTCGTAGTCGAGTTGCTTAGCAACGACTGACAACGATTAGTAACGTCAGCCGGCTATTTCTTTTTGTTTCGTGAAAATGAAACGTCGTTGTACTGAGAGAAGCGATTTCCATATTGACCGCTTTTTATTGCATTAAGGATCAATAACACCTGTCTTGGCGTATTAGTTTAGGTCAAGTCTTTAACATGTCCTTAATGATGGAAGAGAAAGTTTGACGATAAACTAGTGATTTCTTGATCAAATAGATTACAGCAATCAATATTGATAGTTAATCGATAGTATAGGAAATATTTCAATTCAACCTATTTCATGTTACAAATGAGAGAAAAGATACACCGACATTGAAAGTCTTAATCGTTTCCTGGTTTCTTACGTCATACGTAACCATGACAGTATCGATCTGACGTCATTACTTGTACGGAAGACACGAAAAACGAATTTATTTTCAAGTGCGGCAATGTTAATCTGTTGTAATTTMAATCATGCTTAATCTACAAACGCCAACTCTTTGGGCTTGGAACGAGCTAGTATGCTATAGTATTTTTTTAAATAGTCTTCGTCTTCAGTTTCAAAGAAACGCGGGATGCGAGAATGCGCAAGAATAAAGAAGGGATGGGAGGGTCGGGATTTTTTGAACCGGCACTCAATTTATAGAGTCAGCCAAAACTTAAAGGATTGTTATTATTAATGTTCATAATCTCTAATAAGCAAATAGATTGGATTTCCTGGCTTAGATCAGCCCAAAATATTGACATTTGGTTGAATACTGTTCACTGGATAGCTTGTGGTCTATTCGTTGTGCTGTTCACTACTACTACAACTACTGCGGTGCGGCGGTGATCCATCCATTCAGTGTGCCACCTAACATTGAATCAGATTCGCTGTGTGGATGGGAGGTCTGTCCTACTGCGGTGCGGTGATCCATTCATTCAGTGTGCCACCTAACATTGA